GTGTGGTGGAGTTGGGTGTTATTTCAGGATGTCTAGTGAAAAGTTCATCTTAATTGGCTTGATTCAGATATCCACGTTAATCAAAACCATCAAGAAAATAAAACATATTACCCCCATGATGAGAAACACACTAGTAGAAAAATGAGCATTGGCGACGGGGAAATCCTTCGCCAATGTAGCAAAATCCGTCACCAATACACTTTCGCGACGGGCGGAGTCCGTCACCAATAATCCTGTCGCCAATAAACATTGGCGACGGGGAAACCAATGTACATTGGCGACGGGCAATAACCCGTCGCCAATGTTTTCTGTCGCCAATACCTATCCGTCGTCAATGATCATTGGCGACGGATTTCCCCGTCGCCAATGTTTATTGGCGACAGGATTATTGGTGACGGACTCCACCCCGTCGCGAAAGTGTATTGGTGACGGATTTGTCCCTGTCGCCAATGTACATTGGCGGCGGGTTTGTCCCCGTTGCCAATGTACATTGGCGACGAAAAATGCCTGTCGCCAATGTACATTGGCGACAGGTGTATTCCCGTCGCCAATATACATTGGCGACGAAAAATGTCCGTCGCCAATGTACATAATCAGGTAAAAAAAAATATTTCTGCATTGCAAAGCCTCCCAATCGGGAATGCGTACCTGTTACTACCATTATTCACAATATATTAAACAATACTCACAATATCACATTTATCGATTCGCATCCAACAATATTCACGTTCACCGATTCACATTCAACAATATTCACATTCACATCCAACAATACTAACATTTACATTCATCGATTCACATCCAACAATATTAACATTTAACAATTCACATATATACATAATCAGGAGGTCATAATATGTTCAACACAATCCAAAAGTCTACATAATCAGGAGGTCATAATATGTTTAACACAATCCAAAAGTCCACAAAAGTTACCAAAAAGTCTAACACATCACTCACTCATCATAGTCGTGGTCCCTATCGTCGTGATCCCTATCATCGGTGGCGGCTGCATCAGAATGCCGTACCGTACTGCTGCTTCCTACGACGGTACCTCCTCTACCCTAAAAAGAATGTAAATCAATATGAGAATATATTCCAAAATACTCATAATAAATACATATATATAATATGACATATATACCTCTCCACCACTTGCAGCTGCATGCTCATCAAATGCCAACACCATAATATCCGTGTATATAGACTGCGGAAGCAAGTCCTTTACAGGTTGAGAATCGATGAGTCGCTGAACGACATCCCAAGTCGTTTGTGCACCACTTAACTCGTGCTTAATAGTGGGAAGAAAACTTAAAGCCAATGGAATTTCAACATTCTTCATCAAGTATTTTCCAATCTTACCCACGACATATGACGTGTCTCCGTGTCGCGTCGATGTCACAGATTGGCTGCTAGGCTTATTGGTGGTGGTGAGTGTCTTAACTCTAGTACTTGACAGAGGCACTCTTCCTTTCTTTCTTGAGTGTAAACCGTAAGCTCCGTCGACAACTTCCATCCACTCGTCTCTGGTCATGCGGTTAGGCTCTACAGGAGTGTCCTCTGTACTTCGAGACTGCGTGACACGGGTGAAGACATCGTTTTGAGAAGCTTCCAGCGCCGCCTGCATATCATATATCATAAAAATTAGAAACTTTGATGAAAAATCATTAAGTATATACAAATCTAAAATTAATCTTATACTTACGTTCAATTCATTAATTTTCTCCACCTTTTTGTCATTTCCATCTACATTTTCATAGCCCTGGGGTGGTGTATAAGCTCTTTTAGCCAGAAGAGTCGGGGGCATAGTCAAAGCGTCCTGTGATATATTAAATTCCAAATTAAATGTAGGAAACTAATCACATGAAATCAGTTTTAATAATATGATCATACCGGGTTTTCGCTCAAATACTTATGCTCGATCTGAGCATAAGAAGTAGCTCCTAAAAAGTGATCGTATAGCTTTGATCTACGATTCGCCGATGCCGTTTCACATATTTTCTACAAAATAAAGTATTTTTTTAGTATGTGCGATGATAATATATAAATGAAAAATAACGTGATGATAATGTCATAAATTAAAAATAATCTACCTTCTTCTCACCCTCCCACTCGATAATGAGAGTCATCCAATTAAATGGAGGAACTCTCTTATCAAGCTCATAGATCCTCTTCCAATCAGTAGATAAATTTGTGAAATATCTTTTCTTTAGATCACTCTTCCAACCCCGAATAAGCTTGGCCATTTTCGGGATAACATAATCCCAAGACTCTGGGTTGTCTTCAAGACAATAATGATCCTGCAAGTTACATGGCAAAAAAATTACACTATAAGAATAATCATTGTGAATTGTAAACAAAATAAGCAGCAATATATTAAATAATTACCATGAGCTTCTCCCAAATCTTTTTTATGCATTTAAATTCTTGCTCCTCAAAATTATGAGCAATATTAATGGAGCGTGGATCTCTTATTAAACAGCCAATCAAGTTATTAAATCTGACAGCCCAATCCCTAACATGAATGTTGTCCTTCCACTCCAAAATGCCCCGATACCCTTTCGGAGGTACTTTCGTCTTTTCCTCACTCCCATGCCTACCGGGTTTCTCATAATCTTTTTGGCCTACAAAGTCAAAGAGAAATAAATTTCTTATACACTTAAGTAAGCAAATAAGTATGAATTATCCAAAGTTTAAACGAAATTATTACCTTTTTCCCTCATTAGATCTGACATAGCTTTATCTAGTCTCTGTTTTATGGCACGCTCCTTTCTTTTAATATCATCTCTCTTCAATTTGTAGTTCATATCACATTTTTTTTTGTAATTCAATAGCTTTTTCTGGTAGAGGGATGCGAGATACTGACGGAGTCCATGGGCGGAGACATGCCATCTCTGACTGAGAAGATACAGACATCCTCTCGTGCTCGATCTCATCATCACCAGATCCATCGCAAGCATTGTCTGCAAATATTTATTAGGAATATAAAATATCATTATATTACATTAAAATATATTACAAATGTATAATACCTATACTTGGTAATGCATCTTGATGTTGCGGTGTACCCATTTGAGATGTCCCCGCAATATCTAACAAATTATAAAATAAGAAATGAGCATATAAATTTATCAATTAAGGTAATTACATGCACAGAAAGTTCAAACTGAATAAAGCAAGCAAATTTTATACCTTCAATTGGTGAAGATCCATGTAGAGATAACTGACTCCGAGATGGTCGTGAGGATGATCCTAAATAAATAAACAAAATAGTAGATATAATGCATATTTATATCAAATATACAACTTACTTAAAACAAAAATTGAATATGCATACCGGATGATGGACCTTCTCGATCCCGAGGAAAAGATAGCCTCCTAACTCTTTGGCTCATCTGCAACTTAAATTGTTAATCTAACATAATTGAAATATTTAATAAATGCATACAAGATATCAAGTCGAATTTGCATAAGGATCTTTGTATTCAATCTCCTACATTACAGATATCAAGTCGAATTTGTGAAGTATACATATTAAAATTGACATTCTGAGGGTATGAGTAATTAAGAAAAATTTCTCCTTCGGCCTCATTTGGGTCATCAGTATCATCCGAGTTTTCATCAAGAGCAAGCTGAACAAGAGTCCTCGGCTCCTTATACAATACGACCCAGACATTCGGGTGCTTAGGATCTTTGACGTAAAAGCACTGAGTAGCCTGATTTGCAAACATAAACTTCATATCGGGATATATCTCCTTATCTAGATTTACAAGATGAAAACCATATGCATCCCTAATACTGTCTGCATGACACCAACGAACCTTAAACATCACATAACTACGTACATTTTTGGTACCGTACGCATAGAATATCTCCACAATATCTTCTAATTGTCCGTAATAAATTATATCACCAAGCACCGGATTTTGATCAGTTGAGCTTGAATAACATTCTTGAGAAAATGCAGCCATGACCCCACTATTTTGAGTAACTCTCTCCTCCTCAAGCCCAACCCGTTGAAATAAACACCCATTTACACGATATCCGCTGCATTGTTTAACTGTGTAGTGCGGTCCATGTGAGTGAATACTTATCTCTTCTGGCACTGGCAAACCTGCAAATCTTTGTCTTTCTACCTAATGTTGCATATAAACACAAATTAGCGTTAAATAGTTAGCCTTATTTATTCCCAAAAAGAATGTAAAATAAAATACACTTTAACTTACTTCAGCTATGACCCACTCGGTAAAATGTTTTTCATGAATTTTAGCAATTTGATTTCGTGCGGACGCACCAGTAATTTCTAAATGTAACTCCTCCAAATGTCGTCTGTTGATACAAAAAATTAGAGTTCAATTATTGATATAATTCAAAAAAAATCATATTTGTTAAAGTTAATTTCTTACTTGCGATAATCTTCAAAGATTTCCAGGTTCTGCAATAAGAAGGCATGAGCCTGATTCAAGTCAATTCTGGAATAGTCTTTGTTCATCTTGGTACTTCCATGAAAGGTGCCATCTCTATTACTATTTATCTCCTTATTTTTTGTATGTACACCATGTATATATTGAGAGGTGAACATCATACATTCATTTGCCACGTAATGATCAGCAATCGATCCTTCAGGATGAGCCTGATTTCGCATTATGCATTTCAAGAAACCCAAATATCTAAAGATAATATTAATATGAGTTGTTAATATAAAGCAGTTACATGTATTGTAAATAGACTAAATTGAATTTTGACTAACCTCTCCATAGGATACATCCAATGATAGTTAACTGGTCCTCTGAGTAATGCCTCATCTACAAGATGATGTGTGAGATGGACCATGACCGTAAAAAATGATGGAGGGAAGAATATCTCCATTTTGCAGAGGGTTTCATTCATTTCTCCTTTTAGTGCCTTAAATTCATCAATATTGATAACTTTTGAGCATAACTTTTTAAAAAATCCACAGAATTCGATTATAACTTTTGCTACTTCTTCATCGGCCATGTTGTTACGAAGTGCTAGCGGAAGCAATTGGTGAAGAAGGATATGATAATCATGAGTTTTAAGTCCTAAAAGTTTTCGCTCTTTCACTTGGATATTATTTGAAATATTAGAGCAGTAACCATCTGGTGACTTCACTGACTTAAGCACTTCACAGAATCTCAGCATCTCAACTTTTGACATTGTAATACGAGCTGAAGGCAACTCAAATTTGCCATTGGTGACTTCTTGTGCTTGCAGATCATGTCAGATGTTCAACGCATTCAAGTCTTGTCAAGCCCTTAAATCGTCCTTTGATTTCTTACCATCTTGTAGAAGTATGGACAATAAGTTATCATATATATTCTTTTCAATATGCATTACATCTAAATTGTGTCGGAGTTTGAGCTTGTGCCAGTAAGGCAACTAAAAGAATATACTAAATTTTGTCCATCCTGTCGGCAAAGTCTCAGCATGTGTGACATCCAAACTCTGCACTTGCCTCTTTCGTTTAGGTTCCCTCTTCATGATAGAAGTGCGTCTCGGAGCGAGAATTTCCTCTTTTGTAAATCGGTTCTTTCCGAACTTGAATTTAGGATATTCCTCAAACAAGTTTACAATCTCATCTCCAGTCATTTCACGCGGCTCCCCTCTTTTCTCTTCTTGGCCATCAAACTTATTTGCCCATTTTTTGCCCCTAAATTTATGTCCTTTTCGTAACCATCTTCTGTTAAACTAATAACACATTTTTCGACTGTGTTGTAAATAAAAGCCTTCGAAGTTCGGACCACATACAGGACAAGCGAATGTCCCTTTCGTAGACCAACCAGAGAGATTACCATAAGCTGGAAAATCATTAATCGTCCACATAAGAATAGCACGGAGATTAAAAGACTCACAAGAAAATGCATCATATGTTGGGACCCCTTCATCCCAGAGACGTTTTAACTCATCAATTAACGGCTCCATGAACACATCTATGTCATTACCGGGTGAATGTTTGCCTGGTATCAATAATGAAAGAATCATATATGATTGCTTCATACAAAGTCCAGGTGGTAAATTATAGGGCATTAACACAACTGGCCAAGTAGACCATCCCGAACTCATAATGCCAAACGGGTTGAATCCGTCGCTAGATAGCCCAAGTCTGACATTCCTACACTCTGTGGCAAATGAGGGAAAAGTATGATCCACATGCTTTCATGCCTTTGCATCTGCTGGATGTCTCACTTTACCATCATCTACACGTCTTTCCTTATGCCACCGCATATCTTTTGCTATATTTTTTGTCATATACAGACGTTGTAACCGAGGCACTAAGGGAAAATGTCGAAGCACCTTCGCTGGAATTTTCTTCTGTTGATTCACCGACTCATCTGACTTTCGTGTTGAAGTGCGTGCATTCTTTCTCCATCGAGACACTCCACACTTTGGACATTCCTGAAGTTTCTCGTTATCCTTATAATAAAGGATACAATCATTGGGACAAGCATCGATCTTATTGTAATCTAAACCCAGAGCACCAATAATCTTATTTGCATCATAACACTTTTCTGGTATGCTATTCTCTCCGTCTGGAATTACCTTGCGTAGTAAATTAAGAAGCATTTGAAAATATTTATCTGCCATTCCGCTCAGGGTCTTAATACGCATCAGTTCAAGAATAAATGACAACCTACTATACTCAGTGCAACCATCGTACAGATCCTTCTCGTTGTCTTCCAATATCTTCACTAAATTTCTGTAGGCCCCGCTATCACTCACGTCCTCGGTATTTTGGACATCATCTGCATCTCCAGGAACTTCAACAGCATCTGGTGCTTCTGGAACTTCATCAACTTCTGCAACTGTCGTAACATCGTTGAACATTGCGTGCGTACCGTCTATATTTCTATCATCTAATTCAATATCTTCACCTTCTCCGTGAAAACTCCAATATTTATAATTTTCATCAAATCCCCATCTTTCTAGGTGTCTTCGTATAGCAACTCTATCCACCAGACCTCTGTTCCTACACTTACTGCATGGACAACACAACAAATCGTTCTCTATCTTTCTCGGATTAGCATATGCATATTCAAGGAATGCTTCCCATCCGTCTCGATATCGAGTATCACCTTTTGCTCTTCTTTTCAATATAGGAATATCAATCCATGACTTATCAGGAACTTCTCTCATCTGTATAATAGGAAAACTTATTAATTAATTTAATATCTCTTAAATCGTCATAAGTTTAAAAGTCTTTATTTTAGTTGATTGAACAAATAATCAAACGAATTAAATTACTTTTCTATAATGGCCATTAATTGTTGTACCAAATAAAAGCTAACACTCTATGATAAGTAATCCTAATTTAAACCAATACTCTCGGCTGTCATAGGAAGGCTTCTATCCCATTAAGAATATAGTAGTGCTTACATCTAACTTTGAATACTATGTGTATTTTCATTTCTAGAAAATTTCGGCAGCACCTACCCGTTGTTCTCCAAGTACACTGTGCGGATGTTATTATGTGTATCGGTAATTGACCGAAATCGGTAAGTAATAGTTTGATAAACATAACAACATACGCTTATTGTACCCAGAGAACAACAAGTACGTGCGACCGAAATTTTCTAGAAACGAAAATACACATAGTATTCAAAGTTATATGTAAGCACTACTATATTCCTAACTCGTCCGAAATGGACAGATCCAATAGTTACTTTCCAATTATTTCTACTTATAATATAAATTAAGCAATCCATTTCGGTATAAATTTAAATTTTATACCCAAAGTTGAATCGTCCATTTATATTATAGGTCTAAATAATTGGTAGTAATTATTGGACGGGGATCTACGGCTGACGTTAACTCGTTATTCACCTAAATTTAATATATAACACATTATTGTGTTATATATCACGCTGTGCTTTTTTGATATTTTTTTGAACATTTGTGACTCCACATAAGCTACTCTGTCCATTTACACCATTATTTTATGCTTAATAACTTCAGAACAAAGAGGAGGCCCCTGGGTTTTAATACAAAAGAAATACAATTTTACCGCGACCAAACTTTAATTACACGGTTAAAATTATGGTTAAATATTACAACAAGGTGATCAAATCGATAATGCATATATCTGTAAACGGAAAGCAAGTTAGAAAGACAAAAAAATGCGTACGTATTCTGTGAATAAATATCTATCTATTTGTTAAAGATGAAAAATATAAAAGCTACAAATTTTTGTGATATGAAATATATATAAAATGGATAAATGAATTTATCAGCAACAAGGTCTAACTCAACTGAGGAGAAAAATCAAAATCTTAGACCCATGAAATAAAGGTACTCAAACTTTAACGGAAAGCAAGTTAGAGGTTAAGTTATCATAATAACCTTTAACTGTTACATCTAACCTCAGAAATACGGCATAGTGAAAGGGTGTTAATTAATAATCAGTACGTAGTCAAACCTCGGGGGGACGTCGTGCGGGTCCAAGGCGGGGAGACAGAGGATCGAGGGCGGCGAGACGTCGGGCGGGTCCGCGGCGGCTGAGAGTCCGAGAGGCGGTCCAGGCAGGGGAGCACGAGCCGCGGTGTCAGTGGGGGAGACGGAGGATAGTGGGAAGAGAGGCTGAGACTGGTTTGGGTTTGATTGGATTAGGGTTTAGGTTTAGATATTTATGTCTTTCATATTTTAATTTTAGCCCCTCAAATTTTTATATTTTCAAATTAGTTTCTAAAATCTCATAGAAATTGCTATTTCAACCCTAAAATCTAACTATTTTTATCAATTTTTCTTTTACATCCTCTTATTTAGAGTTAATGATTAGATTATTTCAAAATTAGTCCCTCAAATCTTTAATATTTCAAAATTAGTCCGATTGGCTATCTTCAATTAATATTTCAAAATTACTCAAATCATGGAAATTTCTATTACATCCCTCAAATCATCACAATATTTACTATAAATTTCTATTACATCCCTCAAATCATCACAATATTTACTATTAGGTCCCCTGGTTAACACCAGTTATATTTAAAGAAATATTCTTTTAAATCTAACTATTATTACTAGTTTCCCTTAACTTTTAATTATAAAAAGTTAACCCGTTTGGACCTAGTTGATAAGTTCTGGTATGATAAGTTCTGATATGATAAGTTAACCCGTTTCAAAATTAGTCCGATTGGCTATCTTCAATATTTTAAAATTACTCACTCAAATCATGTAAATTTCTATTACATCCCTCAAATCATCACAATATTTACTATTAGGTCCCCTGGTTAACACCGGTTATATTAAAAGAAATATTCTTTTAAATCTAACTATTATTACTAGTTTCCCTTGACTTTTAATTTATGTATAACAAACCATATTGTTAATTATTACAGCATTAGTATCGGGGTAGAATACCTAGGAATAACTTTTCTCAGACAATAGCAATATATGCGTCTTAAACAATAATAGTAGATATATTTCATGAGCCTAGAGGTAGGGGTGGAAGTGAACCAAATAATCAATAAACTGTTTAGTTATTATTCATCTAGCTATTCGATCAAATTTGATTCGCTATCTCATTTAACAATAAATGAATAGCTATTAGTTATTAAACTCATAAACAAATAGAAATTAACCAAATATGTATTCGATTTTCTTGGTCATTAAATCTTCGTTCAATTTGAGACATTAGCTTAAATGGCAAAGACAATTTAGAGGGGGAAATTAGTAAAATGATGCTTTGGGGGAGTATTTACAAATATATACAATGCTTGTGTATATATGTAAAAAATTCACAAAAAATGAAAGTAGTGGCGATCCAAGAGTTCAAACACAGGACCTGTTATATCATATTCGCTCGAACTCAATTTTGACGGCTCTTTCTCCTCTTAACCTTATGACCTGTTATATCATATTCGCTCGAACTCAATTTTGACGGCTCTTTCTCCTCTTAACCTTATAAAAAACTCCAAGAGAACTCTATCCAAACTATTTTCATCCGGTTTTTAGTGATTAAATCTAATTTATCTCCTCTAAGATTCATTAATGATGTTTACAGGGTCAAGTCCATCCGTAAATGAAGCCCAGATTAGTGGAGTTCATAGAATCTACTAGCATAAAGAATAAAAATAAATAAATTTAAAAACTAACATAGAATTCCTAATTAATTAAAAATATTTTAACATAAGAATATGATAACATATGTATCTTTCCATTGC